ATCTCAACAGTAGGCCCACACTAGGTGATCATTATTTACCCCAGAAACAGAGTGATCGTGAATTACCCCGGGTCACCCTAAATGTAATTTGAATTTTATGCAATCATATTTTGCTTAAAATTGCAAAAGAATTGATGCTTACTCTAAGGCTAATAATGAAATCGAAAAGAAAGGTTTGAATTGCCAATGAGAATATGTTAAATAGAACTTTTTTATTAGAAAGGTGTTCTGATATGTGTCTATTTAAAGTTTCTTCGAATGAATCTCATTACCATACCATCACAAGTATTAATCTGACCAATAAAACAATTACCAGAAAATAAAAATTAACGTGTGTTTCATTCATATAAATAAAAAAGAGAAAATTTCTATATTTTTCGTAATTCGTTTTTATTTTTTTTTTTCAGCTGACAATTTTTTCCATATTTTTAAAATCAGAGGTGGAAAATAATTTGCTGTAATATGCTGCACACACTGCTGTTCTGGAGGGCTTCTATTATTGGGGTTATATTCAAAGACAGTTTGAAAATGCTATCTCAGTGGTTACCAACTGGTGGCCAGCGAAGCCTTTTTTTGTGGCCCGCGGACTAAAATATATATAAATTGTCATTTTTTGCGAACAATTTTCGTGAAAAATCTATATGGGTTTAAAATACTTTTCTTTCATTGAAAAGAAAAACTAAGTTCTTCGTTTCTGTGAAATTTAACATACCAACGGTGCAAAAAAATATATTTCTCAGATTTTGCATCCTAAAAAGTATTTATTCAAGAAAATATTTATTATTATTTGTAATTCAATACTTTAGTTTTGAACGACTTGGGAAAATCTGACAGGATAATATTTAATGTTCCTTCAAACATAAAAAAGTCCTGTATGAAATTTGGACAAAGTTGCGGCCCACCATTTGACAGGTGTTTTTAATTGTGGCCCCAGACTCATGTAAGTTGGAAATCCCTGTGCTATCTTATGAGAATGCATAAGTAGAAGCTTACAGCTGGTGATCAATGCTGACCATATTGTCTCCATCATGTGGTTAGTCACATAACTGTGGAGTCTTAATCTTCATGACTCCAACAATGGGCTGTTGCAAGAATACTTTGCTTTTTAAATTCATATATTTTTTTTTATATCCGCCGTTGAACAGTGGACCCAATTTTTGGGTTTACAACTACTGATGTTCAACTTCGTAGCCTTGTAATTTTGAACCAATACAGAGGACAAGGAAACTTCTTCATCAATACCCCAGAAGTATAATTTGTTTTTTTTGGAACATGGAGGACTTTGTGACTCAACAGATTTAATATGCACCAGTCACCATTTACTACACGGGGAGTCTTTGGTCCTCAGGGATCGAATCCACGACCTCTAGAGCATGGGTCCAGTGCCCTACCAGCCAGGCTATCATGGCCCCATATACATATATATGTTTTTTTGTTAAATTCTAGTAATAGTTTTTAAAACAGCTATTTACTATAGGTTAAAAAAAGTAGGATAACAACCAAGCATGTAAAAATACAGCAAACATTTTTATTTGAAAAAAAAAAAAATTTTAAAACCTTTTTTTTTTTTTTTTTTAAATTTTAATGAACTTGAAATAGTATACAAATATTTTTATGTATTATAATAACTTATTTTTGAAACTTATGGGTTAAAAAATGTTATATTTCACTCTATAATATTTAAAAAAATTATGGTGTTTTTTTTTAGATATTTTAAATAATGAAGATTTTACCTCTCAAGTAATTTCAAGTTGTTCTAGTTCAGAAGATAAACAAGTCAAACCTGTTTTTATATTTATCAATCTATTGAAGAAACTGAATTCTTTGAATATTTTATCTAATATTGATAGTATCCCTGAAGAGCTCTCCAATATTCTTTCTGTCATCATTGACTTGTTAGAAACAACTTATCGTCAGTATAATTTTATATCACTGAAGAAGTTCTTTACTTTTCTGTCTGAACTCAAGCTTTTGGTAAGATAAATCAAAGTGCTTTTACAAATTTTCTATATACATCTTATTTAATATTGCATTTTAATTTCACTGTTTAGTATAACAGGTGACAAAATTTGTTGGAATATATTGTAATTAAGATTTTTTTTTAATTTATTGCTTAATAATTAGGGTTCACGTCATTGACAACCAATATCAACTAAAATCAGACACATAAGCAACAAAATTTTTTTTTCTTCAAAAGTGTTTTGAAATAACAAAATAGTTAGGAAGTTTTTTGCATGGAATGCCATGCATTTCAATTTAATTATTGTACTAATTTTATTTTTCTACTTGTAGGTTAAATTTTTCAAACGGAATAATTAAGTGTCTGGTACAAAATATTTTAAATTTAAATGTTGATATTTCTAATTTACATTATGTACTGTGATTTGTACAGTGTTTGTGATTTCTGACAGTATAACTGTTCATCAATAAAACATTGTTTTTTACTCTTTTACAATTGACTTTATTTAAATTTTATAATTTTTAGATGATTAATTTTTGATGTACCTAATATTTTGTTAGTTCTTACATTTTCTGTTTTCTTCATTTATTTATTTATTTGGTATAAGCATTTTAATCTATTTGTAAGAAGATCTGTTTACTAATATAATTTTAGCTTTTTTTTTTCTTTTAATTTATCTTTAATCATTATGACGTAATTGACCTAATTAGTTTTAGGGCAGGGCTGATTGTGCTCCGTTAAAAAATCTGGATTTCCGGATTTTTCGTTAACAGTGATCCGGAAGTTTCCGGAGATCAAATTTTCAAAGGTGGAACTTAAAAACACCGTTTATTTTATTTGTTTAAAGGGATAGCCAGAGAGATACTTTCAAGGGCGCCGGTAGCGGGGTGCAAGAGGGTGCACTTGCACCCCCCTGGCTTTTTTTAAACAAAAAAAATATACAGAAAAAAAAAATTATAATTTTTTTTTTATGAGAACTATTTTTATTCAAAAACAAATTATTAAGTAGTTATTGATACATAACAATTAAAGAATGTTTAATCAAACAAGAATTGTAATCGTCTTGTTTGCTGTCCAAATCTGTTTATAACTTTTTCAATGAATTCTGAATCATCTTTGACTCTTTTCTTATGCACACTGAGCATGCACAAATTTGGCGGATATCTAAGCTATATTTTTAAATTTCATTTAATAAAAAATGAATAATATTAAATTTTCGATTAGTTATTTCGTTTAATAAAGGTGTATAACACAAATTGACTTCTCACAACTGTAAAACTTCATCAACACAATAAATACCAATGTTAAGCGCGCACAAGCACGTTACTATACGAAACTACTGTTTGTAGTTATTTGTGCTTCAAAGCCACTAGCCATATGCAACGCCATAAGTACAGTTTCTCGTGGCAAAATTTGCAAGAAATTCGTACTTTCTTTTTTTTAAATATCTTGTTAACGATGAAGAAATGTATCTTGAAAATTATTAACAGCTGAAAATATATGTAATAACAAAACAAAATGCAATAACAGAATTTTTTTTTCGGGGGGGGGGGAAATAACGAATANGGGGGGGGTAGATTGTTAGAGGGTTACACCCCTTTTATATTATTCTGCCGGCGCGCTTGGATACTTTATAAGCTTATATTCATGATTAATATTCATTTTTTATCAGTTGTTATAATCATAAACTCAAGAAAGAAGGATATATTTGTAAATTTTAATTACTTCTCCAGGTCATCATAGGTATATGTGTAAATGGTATAGGTATGTTTAAAATTTTAAATATATTTAAAGAAACTAAGAAATATTGTAAACTAAGAAATATTGAGAAAAAGGAAAAAAACCTTGTTAAATGTTTTTCTAATTTTTCAATTTAAACTGTTTCTTTTCTTTTTTTTTTTTTTTTGAAAAATAAAACTAAGGAAATTTTTCGGAATTTTGACTTGGGCTCACAATCATCCCTGTTAGGGTGTAATAGATGGCAATTACTAATTTTTTATGTGTACCATAACATTAATTATGCAAATGTAAAATGCGATTTTTTTTATTTTTTATCTCAAGTTTTTCTTCTATATTAAGTTTTTGGACCACTAAATGAATACCTAGGTGGTCTTATTGGACCACTAAATTTTCATTACTGGTGTAAGCCCTATTAATAATAATATCTATATTCTAATTATTTGAGAACATAATTTTAAACATAATTTGAGAACATAACTTTTAAGTGGAAATCAAGTTTTTTTTCCTTTTCTTTTAATTTAAATCAGCTTTTTTTTTCCTTTTAATTTAAATTAGTTTTTTGTTTAATGAAATGCAATTGATATCTGCCATTGAATAGTTTTGAAGAATTTAAATCTTCTAATTAGATTTTGAGAATTACAATTTTTTCACATTTAAATGACAATTTTTATAGTTTTACTATAAATAATTCTATCATCCCATAATTGCCTAAATGGGTTTGAATCCTATACTTGTCCTGTAAATCCTATACTAGTCTTATGAATAAATGTGATCTGAATGAGGAAACTATTTTGCAATATTATATGTATGACACAAATAATACATAACACGAAAAGAGTATCGGCTTCATTGAATCGGAACTGATACTCAAACAGAATAATTTGTAGTGTTTAGTTGTTCTTTAGCTGCACTAATAGAATAAAAGCAGCAAGATACATAACAGATACATAACATAATTTATATTATCTAGTAGATAAAAGGAAAAAATTTTCAAAGTTTCTTTGGATCATTTTATTCAGTTAGCTATGTTATTTATTTTATTCAATGGAATATTCACCATCGCAACACTCGAATAACAATCTGGAGAGAAGATCGGTTGCATGTCTTGACCTTCCCCCTATTCCTCTCCACATCTTCTCAGTTTTATAGGAATGTACTATGATATTTTACCCTTTCTTAATATTTTTCGTATTTACTTCTCAAAAATATTTTTTAAATTTCCATGATGTTTTCTTTTAGAACTATGTTACATGTAGTTTTTAGATCTATATAGTTTCCTAACTTAAATTTTTTTAGTCTATTTGAAAATCAGGGCAGATACTAACATTCTTCCTTCTCCTATGACTCTCCAAACGATAATGGTGAAAGCATGTGGAGTGTTGCTAAAGGTAGAGAGTTTTGTCTATGCCACCTGATGCCCATTACGATCGCCAATAATAAAATGCAATTTGATTCTAAAAATTATCCTTGAAGTTATAGCTTACATTGATTCTGAGCTCTGTAATTTTTCTTATAAAATTTTCATGGACGTTAACAAGAAACATTTTTTACAGAAATAAATTTTGATATTTAAATATAACGACTTTGTATTTTTATAACTGTGCATCATTAAATGAACAATTTTGTAAGTGGATAAATTAGATTTTTTTGTTCCCACTGCTCAAGTTAAACATAATTTAGGTCACTGAAATTATTTGCATTCTGAGTGAGAGAAACACTTCTTTTTCATATAATATTAAACTTCCATTTTTGAATTGTTTTCTGATCTCAAACACATCTCTGCACTGCCTTCTGTACTTGGCAATAAACCTTGTTTCTTACCAACCAATTCTTCTGAGCTCAACCAAGATCATGTACTGACAAATAAGTCTCCCTCTTGCTCTTTTTCCATTGGGAGCCCATTCATGTGCATTAGATGTTATTTGTTTCTTGGGCATTCTAAGAACATGGCCAAGTCAACTTCATCTCTCTTTGATAATCTCATCTATTTTTTTTTTCGAAAGGCTTCTAGTTTTTGTTTATCTACTTTTGTTTGTTTCCCATAGAGTAACAAAAGTAAGATAGATTTATTTGTAAAATTAAGAATCTAATCAAAATACTAACTAGAAATTGATTGGTTGCATTCAAATGTTTTATTTAAGAAACTAGATTATTACTGTATAATTCTTAGTAGTACTTATTATTTAATATTTCAATTAAATAAAATTTCTTTTACGTGCAAAAAAGTCCTCTATTGCTTTTATATAAATTGAGTTTCACATTTTAATTATGCACTGCTAAAAATTAATTTATATATATATATATATATATATATATATATATGTGTTGTTATGTTTATNTATATATATATATATATTTGTTGTTGTGTTTTTACGAATGTATGTAACAAAATGTAAAAACTTGTTTTTAAAATTATAGGATTTACTCAGTTTGATTGTAAAAAATGTTGAATCTCCCAAAATTCTCCAAAAGCTTAACCAACATTTTCCTCGTTGGTCTTCATCTTACAAAGAAACAGTGGAAAAGAACTATAACATTGAAGTAAGTGGTTGTATAATTTAAAAATGTGAATTAAAAAAAATTATTAAATTAATTTCTTATTGTAGTACATTTATTTATTTTTAGTAAATGTATGTTTAAAGTTTTAAAAGAATCTAGAAATTGTTTGTTTTTTCTGCTGTATAATAGAAAAAGAAATAATTTCTCCCTTAAAGCTTATAATTATTTATTATGAATAGTATTCAACTTCAGCTTATAATTTCTTTTCAAAGCTCCAAATTTTATTAGCTGATGAGCTTCTAAGTTGGATCAGTACTTGACCTTTAGTTTTCAAACTACTTTCTTAAATATCAAGTGTTTCAGTCATTGTACAAATGCATTTTGCACACTTTTAAGTTGTGTTGTTGTTGCTAAGTCCCATCTGGTCTGATTCCGTCAGACCAGATCAATAAATCCGTTGACATTTAGGAAGTCCGAAACTAAAAGGGTAGAGGAATGAATGTCGTTCCAGTCCAGCCCTAAACAGTTCAAGATGTGCTCAGGTGATGCCTGGTTTTGTTGGCATTTAGGGCAAAGAGGAAATATATTTTGACTAGCAGAAAAAGTGAGACCTTTTAAGTTGTACATGCTATTCAATGATTTTGAGAAAAGCCTGCAATTTTCTTGTCTCAATTCTGTGAAGGCAAGAATCATAAAACATTTATCTTATTTATTTATGTGTTCTTTGGTGTCTAAGTTCATAAGATAAATCTTGTTTTCCCTGCATATTGAAAATTTGATTCAAATTACTTGTAAAGTATTTAAAAAGCAAAAAAAAATTCTTTAAAAAAAATGCTAAGCTTCATAATATTTTAGCTTGTTGGTTTTAATGTTTAAGAAAGTGTATGAATATCCTTTAGCATATGAAAAATCTATAATTTTGGTATAATTTTAGTTTAAAATATGTTTGCCTTCTTCAGTATAATAATATTATTAATGTTGTGTTTACTTTACTAATTTTATGGCTAGATTTATCTTTTTATTTTCTAGAATTCTAAAATATTGGACAAAGTGGAAGAAAGTCATGCTCAGTGCCGCAGGCTAATTCTTAAACTTGCTGTTGACTTAACATTTAGAGCTAAATATATGACTGAACAATACACTAATGATGTAGACAGAATTGTAAAGGAATCCATATGTTATATTAAGGAAGCAATAAATGCTTTAGACTCATGTGCTGGTTCTTCTTTATTAGAAACTGTAAGTTATGTTATGTGTTAGAATTGCCTGATTTTCATATTAAATACATTAAATTTTTAAAAATAAAATTGTTCTGTTAATTTACTGTAAAATTAATGACCTATAATCAATTCGTCTTCTCGAGCAAAACTTTTAACATCATGAAAGTAGTTTGTTAAAGAATTAATATAATATACTAATATAAAGTGACTTTCTGGTGAAATATTTATGTGTAAATAATTCAATAAATAAAATTTATTACTTAATTTTTGAAAAAAAAATTGGGGTAGAAGCATAGACCCAATTACATATTTTTAGATATAAAATTTTTGAAGAAACTTTTTAATATATTTAAAAACTAAGTTTGTTTTAAATATAATAAAATGTAAAATCTCATTTTATATTACCTGTGGAGAGAAGCAAGTATTTTACAGAAAAATAAAATTCGATAATTTTGTCTGCACAAAAAGAAAAAAAGAACAGATCTAACAATAAAATTATGCTAAATTAGTTATACACTAAATTAGTGAAATTACACTAATAAAAATACGGAAGAAAACATGGTGACATTGTCACAGAACATTAGAGTTTTTGCCGAGAAAGTTTTTTTGTTAGGTAAGCAACAAAGTTTGGGTTTCTTTCCTGCAGAATTCTTCAAAAAAAAAATTTTTTTTTTTCCTTCTTCAGAATTCTTTGCAAAAGAAATACTTGCAATTTTATGGTTTCAGCTAGCATTTCAAATCGATAGTATTAAAAATAATTCTGAAATCTTGAAAATTTTAAAAATGTTCAATTTAGAAATGCTATTATTTTCATTTTTTTAAAAAAAACAAACATTGTGTACTTAAATAAAATAGGACTGTGAGTGGTGATTTTCTTATAAATTCAGATTTAAGGCAAAAGAAATAATAAATGGATGTTTTATTAGCAAAATTAGTGTTAAAATTAAATTCAAATGTTGTATTTGAATTTGGACCTTTTACTATCATTTCAATCTTTGAATTATCTTGTATAATCTGTTGTTATACAGGATCTAGCCAATCCAAGGTAACAGACAAAGCAAATGTGGCTCAACTTGAGTGTGAACAAGCCTTTATAATCTATCCCACTACCTTCTATTTATGCTTCAGATTTTTATAAAATATTAGAAAATACTTTTTGCGATATAATTGAGTGAGCTCATGACAAGATATCTTTTTGTTTTTATTTTAATAAATTTTTTTAAAATTTTTAATAATTTATTTTTGTTTTAGATTTTTTTCATTTCATTTTTTTTGTATTTTTTCTCATATATATGTGTATGAGATATATTTTTTTCCCTTTCTATTTTCAATTAATTTTTTAATAATTTATTTTTGACTTTAATTCCCCCCCCCCTATTTTTTCTTTTATACATGTAAATAGCACCAATTTAACTTAATCCATATTGAACCATATTAAAAAAAAAAATCATTCCATTTCAATACTGAGTAGCATCTGTTAAAAATCTGTTATATTTTAAATAGTATATTGGAACCATATCTTTTACCCTTGTTACATGTGTATATTATAATTCTTTGAATTTTTAATATATTTTTTAAGGTGGTTAAAGATGAAGAAAATGTAGCTGATGGGAGAGATTTAAGTGTGCAATTACTTTTTGAATATGTCCAACCTGAAATAACTGATGATGGCTTAGTTAAATTCTTAGAAGATCTTGAGCCATCTCTAAATTCTCAACCTACTGCTTCTGCCCTTACATCTTGTCTTTCACCATTTGATTCTTTAAGTGAAGATGAGGATTCAGATTTAAGGTAATTATTCACTAGAGGGAATCTCTGTAAACATTTCAATGAAAAATATTATTACAAATGCCTTTTTTCTTCAAACTAAACAGTTTTTAAAGAAATGTTATGTAAACATAACATTAAGATTTATAAGAATAATGAAAATTAAGTGGTCCTAAAAAACTACCTAAGTTTTCATTTGGTGATAAAAAAAATACAACATCGTAAGCCAAATGCTTTATTAGTACACAAGTTAACATATATTTTAGGGTTCATATCAACGGTACAGTTATGTAAAAAAGCACCCCAAATAACTTATGATTTTAACCATCAGATTTTCACGTTCTAGGACTCAATCTTAATGATTTTAAGGCCTGATCTTAAATATGTTAAATTAAATTGAAGGCCTGACCTTAAATATGTTAAATTAAAAAAGACAATATTTTTAGTTCGTTAAAAAATCAGACATAACATACTTTCTCTGACAAAATATGTATTTTTTTGGTCGGATTCATGTTTTCAGGGGTGGTTGTGCTCCGGGGAAACCCCGGAATTCCGGGGATTTTGAACTTCCATACCCGGAAATTCCGGGTATCGAAGGATTGATTCCCTAGATGCAGTGCAGACTATTAAATATGATTTAATGGCTTCTAAAGAAACCTCATGTGAAAAATATGGCTCAAAAAATCCAATGACTGATCCAATTCACAAAGATCTCTTACTGAATTTTTTTTTAAAGAATTAATTCAGGTAATTTAAAATATTTACATAAAATGTAGTTGTTTGTATGTTTGAAAATGTATGGTTATTAATTTTGCAAAAAAAGTAATTCATTGAACTTTTATAATTAGGTCATTCAATACTTCATAATTGTAATTTTTCCTTTCTCCCCCCCCCCTTCTCGAAACTCCAAAATGTCGATAGTAAGTTCGTAAAAGTTTCAGGGGATTTTTTGGGGTCCCACAAACACCCCTGTGTTTTTGACGAAAAGTTGTGATTGAATCCTAATTCATCTATATTGAATACTAAGCAGCTTTTATCTGACCATCAGTTTTCTTACCTTATACATTCTGTCTAATTTTTCGTAAAAACCGTATGCAATTTCTGAAATTGTGTTAGATTGTTGTCGTGGCAGAAGGCACTCTACTTTTTTCGTGAGTAAATGAGGATGTCTCATCATCTACTCGAGAAACCAATCCTCTCTTGGTCTTACATCCTTAAAGATATAAAAAAATAAAATTTTCTTTGACATATTGTCCAACAAGATGCAAAAGCTCTTGTCTGTCATGATTTCTAATTCTGGCTTAAGCCAACAAACATTCAAGTTCCTTTTTTTCTTTAATTGCTAAAATTGTAGGGTGTTCAGCTCTTTGATCCCCTGAATTAAATTTTTCAAATTTAAATTTCATGAACCGAGTGTGTGTGAGAGGTACTGATTAACAAAACTGGAAATTATATGACCAGGGAATGACTCAACAAGGAAAATACATTATTCTTTTGCCTTGCCTTTTGTTTTTAACCCCGTGATATATCATTTCTTGATATAGAAATGATCTTTGATGGCACTGTAAACAACAACCTGCAACAAAATGTTGACAGAGATGCCAACTGCTCCATACATGCCAAAATAATTTTTAAGAAACGGTAAATGGCTACAAACTAAATTTTGCAAATATTTGACTATTTTTGCTTGCTTTTTAAAAGGTATAACATGACAGAACTTCTATAAAGTGGTGAATTATATAACAGGGTATATAGCGTTTTTAAAAAGTGCTTTAAAGGTTCTTATTTTCGGTTTTTAAAAGCCCTTAAAGGTGCTTTTTTCAGTGGGTGTTTTTAAAAAGTGCTTGATTTTTTCTTCTTCAAAATGAGATTTTTCCTTTACCATGTTGATTTTAGCTTCGAATTATGCAATAAGACGCAGTTTACATTGTTCTGTTCAGCGTTTTCACAATTAATTCAACCCCAATCTTTTTCGACGTATTGTCAGTCCGTGGAGTAGGAAAACGCCATTCGTTTCACATGATTCAAAATTTCAAGATTTTTGACAATTATAAAAACAATGCCAAAATGTTTTTTTTTTTTACTTTTTGNCATTGCCAAAATTTTTTTTTTTTTTTTTTTGATACGACGGATAAAATTGTCAATTGTCAAAAACTTTCCAACCTTGCCTGATTATGATATTTTTTTTAAGTGCTTAAAAATATTTTTTGTTGAACAATTTGGCTACGCATCCTGTATAAGCCTATGAATTATTTAGAAATGGTGGTGGATAAAAATCTACTAAATTTATTAAACCATGAATCAAAATTGATCAACTACCACTTTAAAATATTTATTTGTTGTTCGGAGCAAGTTGGCATCTCTGTCTTGAAGACCTCTCAATTATTGTTTTGGCATAAGAAACAGATGACGTCTCCCAGACGTCTTCGTATGTCAAGGGGTTAATAAACCGTACTGTTAGTTGCCAAACTAACTTAATATTTTCTTTGACAACTTTTTATTCTATAAATACGAGAGATATTGATTTTGCATGAATTTGGGAATACCCTTTATGTGTAATGGAACTATGCTAAGTTTGATATTGTGTTAAAAAACGTAAAAAATATCTCTATTAAAGCTTAACTATGATGTATTAGTTTTGCAAAATTACTTAGTCTTTTTTAAAATAATATTGTTATCAAGTTCTTACATTTTTAAAAAAAAATTTTTTTTTGCTTGTAAAAATTTATAAGTTTAAGGAGATTGAAAAGAATTTAACTTTTAATTCTTTATGAATTAAAGAAAAAGGTAAGAAAAGCCTTATTTGATATTAAAGAATATAATTAGGAATTAAATTAATAAAAAAATGGAAAAGGAAAAAAACTATAAAAAAAAAATCTTGAGAAAAAAATTTTTAAGAGCTGAAAACAATGTTTTCATGAAAAGTGAAAAATAAAAGATAATATTTTCTTTAATGTATAGAAATATCATTTTACTAATTTTCCATTATGTTAACAAAAACTGTTATAAATGTATGCATTTTCTTTTTTTTTAATTGTTTTTTCTTTTAGTGAATCAGAATATGAGCTTTCACAAAGTGGTAGTCATCCAATTAATGGTAGCTAGATTACTTATGAAAGAAGATATAAAGTGCTGAAGACCATAGGTATGTTTTAAGTTTTTTAGCTAACTTTTTTACAGTTTTTAAGGTAAACTTACTTTGTATGTGCTATCTAAATTTAAATTACTTTTTCTTATTTTATTTTCAATTTTAGATTGTTTCTTGACGAATGAAGGATATTAAAAGAACAAACAATTTAAAGAAGAGTATGTACTTATATTTTCCATACGATGTAAACATTGATATTTCTAAATATCAGAATTCGGTGTCTTATTTTATAATTGCTTAAAAAGTTACACTTTGTAAATAAACTTTCAAACATGACAAATGAAACTGTGTTATGATTTACTACTAGAATTTTGTAAAATTCAATTTTATGTTTTTTGCTATGTTCATTATAATATTTGATATTACCCAGTGGTCAAAAACTTGTGCACCACAAGCAGCAAAACTACTGTAGTTGCTCCTTTTTATGGTAGTTTGTTGTGCACTACTTTTAAAAAGAAGTATTAAAAAAAGGTAGATTGTAGCAATTCCTGGCTACTACTTTTGGTGTTAATTAGTAAAGAAGCATGGTTTAAATATCACTAGCAGGGCTTGTCGCACACTAAGGATTTCAAATTATTAGCCAAATATCAAAAGTATTTGCCAATTTTCAGGAGTTTTTGCCAAATACAAACTTTCACAACTTTTTATGATAAATTTTTTTCCCATAGAAAGCTATTTTACGGTAGCTTGTTTCAGGCTTATATTATGTGAACCTAATTATAATTGGTTATCCGGTGCATCTATAAAAAATTACTGTCGTCAAATAATAAAAAATACTGATTTGTGTAGAAAAATTCATTTTGACGTAATTTTTAGGGTCAAGTGAAATATATATTTTTCTTTCTGGTGGAAAAAGTAATTTACCAATACTTTCGACAAAGCACAACTTTATTCACCAGATTTACAATTTTATAGCATTTGGGGAGGTGGCGAAATGCTATGTGCAGCCTGACTTAGTACATTTAACATGTTTTCAACCAATTTATATATAAAAAAAAAAAAAATGCAATATCACACAACATAACTAGAAATATCGACTGGCAAGGAAAAGGGTCTTAAACAAATAGGGAAAACTCAAGAAAGTTCCATAAATGGGGGGAAAATACTTTATCTCTTATATTGTTATTTTTACATTCAATATTCATAACTGCAAGAATAAAATTTTCCTACTTATTTATCCCTTTTTCTATCCATGTTTTCTCAAAACTGAACTAGTAGGCAGTCCAGGAAAATATTTTTTAGATTTGAGTAGAATGGCAATGTGATTCACATTTTCTTTAAATACTTAAATTTTTTATTGTTATAAAACTAAACAAACTAAATCAATCGCGACAATCCATAGAGAGCCAAGGTCTACTGTGCCCATCTCAGTTTTCATGACCTTGAGGCTCCGTGGTGCAGGAGCAGATGTTCCGGTCAGGTGGTCAGTCGAACGTGGAACCCCCTGTGTTTAGTTCCCAAGCATGCTTGGTACTCATTTATTGACTGACCCACTGAAGTGATGAAAGGCTGAGCCAACCTTGCCCGGCACGAGGATCGAACCCAGGACCTGTGGCACGGGAGCACGAAAAGCTACCACTTGGCCACCAGGCGTATTTTTTAATGTTATATATCTGCTTTATCCATGTATATTATTATTAATTACATTAGAAACCAACTCAGCAATAACAAAATTTTGCATTGAATTATTTCTCTAATTCTTATATATTATTAACAACTTTTTTTAGCTTTATTTATCTTCACTATGTATATTCCTGACTTTTTCAGAATCTCCATTTTAGTTTCATTTTTTATTTCTATTTCTCTGACCCTGTCAGGATCTTCCTGATCTGCAGGAATCTCATACCAATCATCCAATTCTTCCTCCGTAACCTTCAATACCTCTTTCAACAACAATCCATCAATTTGTTCTTCTAAAATGCTAGACGCTGATGATAGTTTCTGGTTTCTTGGAACTTTCTTAACATTATTTGGCTTTTTTATCTTTTCTTTTAATTTTGGTACACATTTTTGCCAAGTGCCACTGGAAATTTGTGTAGAACTTTTTCTAGACATTATGAGATACATAAAAGTATAAAATGGTCTTCTTGAATGTTTCAAATTATTTTTGTTAACTGAGTGCTTTTGATGAAGAAATGATTGGCACTGTTGAAAATATTGGTATTTTTTCATTTCATCTTTTATCGTTTTATAAAATCCTCCTCCTGCAAAATCCAGAAAAAAAATCCAGGAATTCAGTTTCATCCTGTTAGCAACATTCTGAAAAAGCAAAATACAAGTATTTTATCACATTGTGACTAAAATAAATAAAAGCCATATCAGAAACCAAAACTTGTATATAACATGTAAAAATTTACTTATTAATAGTTTTCATATATACAGGGCTGTCCTTGTCCTTTAGGGAGCTTCAAATTAAATCCACTAAAAACGGAAATTGATAAGTAATGCAGCGTTAGACATTTACAGATCGAAGTATACTAAATTATGAACTTATTGCGACCGGCAAGATAGATTTATATCTCCAAAGGGTCCATCCACAAGGGTCCATATCACTTGTGAAGAGGATTCATGAAATTGTGACAAGGGGTAAGAGGGGGTCACAAGAAGTGTCATATAATTCATTCTGATTAAATAAAAAAAAATTAAGTCAGAAAATAAGATATTTTTATATTACTTGTATTTATAGTTTCTTAATCAAAATAGGTACATATCTTCCAAATGCTTCCAAATATTAAAACGCATAGTTAAACTTTAAAAATAAATTATGAAATCTGTTCTATTTCATGTTTTTTTTCTTCGTTTTTCTGTACTGCTAGCATTTAATTATGTGATATAGCATGCGTGACTTTGGAAAAGAGAGGATATGATGGAAATGTGGCATTTGTGATAAAGTAGTAAAAAATATTGAAAAGTTTAGCATCATTTATGAATGGTGCCACAAATCTAATCTGAAAACTAAATAATTCTGAATACATAATAAATTTTTATATTTTAGGCACATAATGCTGTACACTCATATGTTTAAAAAAAAAAATTACATGTAACTTTTGAAACAAACAAAATGAATTTCAGTAAACAATTAAAAGCTAATCCGAAGTATTACTTGATAAATGATTTCTAATTGCATCTGCAAATATTTTTTTTTAATTTTATGTTTTTTTTAAAAATAACATATATTAAGTAAGTAATATAATTAATACATTTATATACTAAATGATCCCTTTTCCAGGATTTAAGCTAGTTCGGAAAATAGATTTTTCTGGATAATAGGTCTCTAAGAGAAACAAACATTTTCATTTAATAAAAAAGACGATTATTAACATCAATTTCAATCAACTAAGAATTAATTCACTTGAATGCACTACTTTTGCAGCTTTTATTATATATTTCCACATGTTTTTTAAAATCTTGATATATCTGCAGTTAATCTTCGTGGTTTCGCCGATTATATATATATTTTTTTTGTAGTTATTAAAACTGAATTTCACTTGGTTTTTAAAATGTCAATGTTTTATTATGCTATGATTTCATTCGCATTTTCAACTGTTTGAGATTTCCATATAGTTTTTAAAATTTTGATTTCATTTCTATTATAATATTATCTATATTCTATTATAGATCCTTGAAATCTGAATCGCATTTTTGAATAATAACTTAAACTTACTTAATTTGATCTGCTTTAGTCGTGACAATTTCATCTAAAATACGCAATTTTTTCAGAATGTGATATTTTTGCATACTCTGAAATTGAGCGTGTGATTCGTGGCGGTAGTAATCTTTTTATGCAAGATGTGCGAAAAAAAGTTACACTTTTTTTTTCTTTTCTTCGTGTAATGAAATGTTGAATTTCATTTCAGCGATATCCTGATTTCTTTGCAAATTGCAGCAGAAATCTGATTAGAATCGAACAAAAATCATGAAGTGGAAAAGCGGAAGATTCTTATCCATACATACTATTTTTTTTAACTAGTGGCAAATGTGTATAAAAATAATGAAAAGTTTTGTTTATTTCGATTATTAAAAAGTGTCCAGAAAAAGAGACTCTTTCAGTAAACAGACATCCGGATATAGAACTTAGTAAAATACATATATACTTGGTAAAAAATATTAAAAAATTTAACCTGCAATATAAGTTGTTTTCAAATTGGGAAAATAATTGTAGTATGAGATTATATAGTTTTTAAAAATATTTAAATACAGATCTTTTATACTTTTTCTAATATTTTATACAACTAATTATGATAATACATCAGATATGGTAAAAGGACTTTCCACTATAAAGTTTTGCTTAATCAACCAAACATAGAACGTTTTAAATGGCATCTTTTTTAAGTCTTTATTGGTAAACAAATAATGCCATTTATAAATTTTTAATGATTTTCATATCTCCACCTGCCTTAAAAAAGTCAGTATAATTTTGGTCATTAACATGCAATAGCATGCTTGAAACTAGAAAAAAAAGTAAACACAGGATCAACTTGAAGGGTATAACTACCTCCCAGCAATTCTCTATTTTTTTTTTTTTTTTTGCAGGTTTAGAAAAAAGAAGAAAAACCTTTTATCGCATTGGTAAAGGTAGCTGGTGCAATATCTCCATAATTTCTAATTGTATAGTTTAAAAAAAGTCTAGGGTAACTAACATTTCACCAATTTATTAACAGTGGTATTTAGTAATGAAAAAACTGAAATTTTTACTAAATATATTTTTAAGCTTTTTAGAATGTAATTAAAGCATTCAGCAAAATTATAAAACATGACAGAATAGATTTTTTCATTTCCTGTAACTAATTTTGAGACAAACATTTTAGGACTTATGTTTTAGGCAACTATATTTTATGTTCCCTTATAACCAATTTCTTTAAAATACTATTTTTTCATAAATAATGATTAATAATATTTTCATTATATGAAAGTGTCTCTCAAAAAGTGTTAAAAATGAAAGTGTGAAAAAAATAGGTGAAATTTGACACTTTCAAAAAAAGTATGTCAATAAATTATTAAAACAACTCATATTTTTCAAAAATTAGAAAAAATTCTTTGGAAAGGATAAAGAGCTACACAATCATACCAATACAATATTACAAGATCTAATTAATTTTTACAAGGAGTCATTGGCAGTGAGGTAGATGAGTGCACAACATTCTTAATTATAGTAGGTATTATTTATTTTAAAAAAATTCTATCCATTTTACCTTTTCAATTGCCTTGTGGCCTTTTCAATTAAATTGGAAATTTACCAATAGTGAAAGCTTCAGAATTAATGCTTATTAGCGTATCCAAAAATGTTGTACCAATTATAACTAGTGGAAGATTTATTCAAAATCTAGATGCTAAGGGATTTAAAAGAAGAAATTATTTAACATTTGAAGAATAAAATTATATAACTTTATTAGATTATCTTTTTTAATATTTGAGTTACTCTATATGAAAACTTTATTACCGGAGTTGAACAGCCGACCCGATTTTGAGTTTATGGCTAATAATGTTCAACTCCGTAGCCTTGCAATTTTGAATCCAATTTAAAAAAACAAAGTAACTCGAGGATCAAGTATTTTGGGAAATTTTGCACTCCTAGAGAATGTTTTGATGGAACTGACTGACATTTAAGAGGCGTTACATGGAGAACTATACCATGAAAACCTCCCATGGTTAGTCTGAAGGCAAGAGGATTATTACCCATGATCCGACTACCACTAAGGATATTTTACGTCAGCACGATGCGAAACGGGAGCAGAATCAAATCAACGAATCGTTGGGAGGCGAAAGCTCTATTCCTTGAGCCACAACGGCTCTCTTTGATAATTTAAGCTATTTGTATAAATCAAGTAACGAATCTATCTTAAAAAATTTATTGCATTAAAATCTTTAAAATTTCTACAAACCTTTAACAGCCTTACATCTTCCTTTTTCTCATAATCAACTTCATTCAGGTTAAGAGCCGAAAGAAATTTCACCATAGTCAGAATATCAGCTTTTTGTACAGCTTTTAAAACATCTTCAGTCCACTTCTTAGTTACATCTGCTTGAACAAATCTCATTCGCACATCAACTATATCTTTATAAAATTTTTTTAGCTTCTTTACTAATAAAAAAATCCATCTTTCCCACTCATTACAAACATCAATAACAGTAAAATATAATTTGATAGAATACTTGTTCTCCTCGTTACTGTTACTTCTTAAAAAGTCAGAAATAACTTTGGTAACAGCCAGTAACTCTGTTCCTGCACCCCCACCAAAACAGCATATTCGTAAAGTATTCATTTTTTTCAATTGATTGAATAAATTAGAATCACAGTTATAAACATTTAGAAAATGTTCGTAAGTAGAAAAAGAATTTATAACAGAGTATTTAAGTAAGTAGGCACAGCGAATTGCTTCATCATCAAACTTGATGTCTGATTTCACAATTTTTTCTTCATTTTCATTGAAAGTAAGGAAACTTGTAGATTTCACTTGATTTAAAAATTCTTTGTTTTCTAAATCAAAGTTGAACACAAGAGGCGCTAATGCATTATAAAAGTTGTAAAAGTCAGTCTGGATTTCGAAAGATTCGAGAAACTTAAAGTGTTCACTCATATTTTTCTAAATAATAGATCAAAACAAAAAAAAAAATTTTTTTTGCAACAAGAATTGTTAACATTTACCTAGGTCATGTAATTTCATTAGCTATTTCTAGAAATTACTCAAAGACATAATGTTGTCAATATTAATTTCAGGAAAAGTCCCTTTTTTAGATAAGGTGATAAAGATATCAGTTCTTATCACATTTATCTAATTCAATTATTATGTAACCCTGTGAAACCAAAACAGATTAAAACAAGAAGTAATTTTGAAATTATTCAAATTAAATATTTATAAATTCTCATGCTCTTCTTTTTTGTTTTACTCTGAAAAAAAAAAAAAACTTCTATTTTGCTTTAACCAAACTCAATAGAATCTGATAAATTTCAAGAATGAATTTTTAACCTTGTACCCCAAAATACATTTTAGTGCTTGGCCCGTAAATATTTCAGAAATTTAAATGAACATTTCATTAGAATATTTATGTATACTTTGTTAAATAGAGAAGATATATTATTATTTTTATTTCTCTTAAAAAAATATTATTACTCTTGTTAACATTCGTAGTTTTTTTTTTTAAATCAATTATTATTATTCTTAGTAAAAGAAAGAAAAAATTATTTTTTGAGGGGGAGATGAAGGTGAAAAAATAAACGTACAATTAAAAATAACATAATTTGTTTTATAACCAAAATATGAAGAAATACAAAATTTGCTAAGAATCAAAAAATAAAATTTTTATAAAATAATAAAATATTAATAATTTTAATTAGTAGAATTTATTTTTAAAAAATTTGTTTTATCGGATTTATGAGTTTATTTTCTTCTAAGTTACATATAGTACTTAAGTAAAATTGCATATACTACTACAAATGTTTTTTAAGCTTAAATAAAAACTGGTCTGGGGATCTTTGAATGAAAACTTAATCACACTGTCCCATATTTAATAGATTTCTCAATCATTATGAAAATGATTATTGCCAAAGTAGTTATTAGATTTAAATACATATTTTTTTAAAATGCACCATTGAAAAAAAAAAAAGGGTTCCCAAATGGTGTTACGTAAAATCCTAGGGTTCCATGGAAGAGTTACAGGGGTTCCGAGAGTTTGGATATTTTTTTTTAACCATTTCTTTAAATTTTTTTTTATTATACCTGTAATATATTTAGATGCAACCAATAATCTTATTCATTTAATATTTTTATTACCTTAATGCGATTGTTGAAAGTTATATGGCATTGAAAAAAATAACTTTTTGTTTTAAAAGAAAGCAGATCTTTTCTAATAACAATATATTAAATACATTATATGTATACAGTACGCCAAAGAAAAAAAAAACGGACCCCTTATTATTTTATTTAATAATGGTCGAAAAAATTTTGTATTGCGAAGTATACAATTTTTTGCATCATTTTAAAGATTTCAATTTTTAATAGCAAAATTTGAGCGAATCGGTCGAATAATTCCTGGGAAATCGAATTTTGAATATCTGAATTTTTCAAGTCAGATATTTAAAATTTGATTTCTCAGGAACTAATCAACCGATTTTGCATTGTAAAATTATATTCTTTAAAATGATGCAAAATTTATATACCTTACAATTCATTATTTTTTCGAATGCTATTAAATAAAATAATAAATATTTACATTCAAAAAAGTGGTTTTTGCAGGGAATTATCTTTGAATAAATGAATTTCATTATTGTGTGTAAAAAATTGCAAATTCTCTTTCTTCTTCATTACTAATTTAAAATGTAGAAAAAGTGAGTTCAGACAAACCTAAAGTAAGCCGTCCAGTTTTTTGAAATACTGAAAAGAAAATTTTAAAATAAACAAATGAAAATAAATTATGAGATTGTTTTATGAAAATAAATTATGATTAACTTAGTTCTCTTCTAATAAAATTTTTTTGTATTTTAATATTTTGACGTATTTTTTTTCTTCCAACAATTGAAACTTCATGACTTACTATAGGTTTGCCTGAATACTTTTTCTTTCTTTTCAATTAGTAATGAAGGATACAGATTTTGGTATGGCGTCCTCTTAATAAGTTCTCGACATATAGAGCAAACGCAAAAAGTATAATTAATATTAAGGGATCCAAACTATTTGGACTATATTTCCTAGATTGCGACTAACTTTCTATATTTTGGGGCTCAGAAATCCGAATCCGTCGAGAGAAAAAAATGTTTATTCAAAGATCTGTTATTGTAACTTAAAATATCGTCTGCTTTGATTAATTAGCATATTTGAGGTCACCCCTTTGAGAAATTAAAATTGAGTTTTAGAACGTGAAGATCTGATCATTAGATCAAAAATTAATTAGGGTGTTTTTTTTTACATAAACTTAAAAAAAAAAATACCCTAATGCACTTTTCAAATCAAAATTAAAAGAATCAAATTCATTTAAAATACGTTTTTATAATAGCTATTTTCAACTTTATAATCTTTACAGTTTTTATTTCAAGGAAAAACATAATTTGGCTTATTTTTAATTTATGCATTCCATAAATAGACCACATTTAGTTCTGGGGCTGCAAATTCAACTGTGGAACATTAAATCTATTTTTAAATTATCAATGATAAAACTTAATTTCTTGTTTTTAATATTTTCAAAGGAGAGTAGTCTTTTATTGGCTCACAACCGTAAAAAATTGGGAACCGCTGTGCCAGATAATTTGATACAGCACCCCCCAGAAGTTGTCATAGATCTAGGGACATAGGCTGAATTAAATGCTATATTCTTCTTTTTTTTTTAATCAATGTGTAAAGTTGATTGTCACCACACTTTTTAAACAAATTAATTTATATACATGATAAAACCAATGTCTCATGCAAAAAAATTAAAAATTATTTTCTTAAATATTTCAGAAAATTAAAAAAATTCTTAATATCAAAAACACGAAATTAGTAATAAAATTACTAGGTACTAAAATAAAAAATTTTGCAAAATGCTTTAAACACTTAATACACAACTCTAGCAGAGTTTATTATTTTGGATTTTATTGCATAAAAACTCATTGAAGTGTTTTCATGATTTATTTAAATTTGTGACAGTTAAAAGGCAATGAAATTATCTTTTGGTTAATAAGTTTTATGATGTGTATGTAGGATATTAAAACTTAAAAGCAATTATTTAAAATCTTTCTAGTGACTTAACCATAACTTTTTGTCAGCTTGTTGAAGCTAGAGTATATAATATTGCACTAATTAATATTTAATTTAAGTTTATCATTTTAGAGGAATATAACTACAATTACAGTTTTTTTGGAGTGCATTTTAAAAGACAAATACCATTAAAAATTAAACACATAAAAAATGAAATAAACATTTCATTAAATAACATCATTTATTAACTTCTTTAATAGTGGCAACTAATTTTTTTAAAAAAAAAGAATGAAAAATTACATATAGAATTTTTTATAATTCATGTAAGATCCTCATCAAATAAGATTCTTTTAGCTGTGCCACCTATGTCACTATCTTGAAATTTTCGTTTTTGAACGTCCCCTACAATTTCTTCCGTTGTGACAGTATTTCCAGTTGGCATGGGTAGTTGTGGAGATGGCGTTGGGGCTGGAGGATTGCTAAAGTATGGCATTTTGAGTGCTTCTGAACAGGTACATCGCTTCAATGGATTTAAAGCCAGCATCTTAGAAAGAACGACTATTAAATCATCACTAGCAGCAGTAAATATATCTCGAAAAGGAATTGGCGGGCTAGGTTTGAATTCAACAAAATGCGGCAGTGACGAGACATGAGGCCAATCTTCTTCATTCGGAGAGCCCATTACTTTGAAAATTTGGCTCAATTGATCAAGATCAGTTTCTCCAGGTAGAAAGGGAACTCTCAAAAGAAGTTCAGCGAGAATACAACCAACTGCCCAAATATCTGGCCCAGTTGAGTAAATACGGGCCCCAAATATTAACTCAGGAGCTCTGTACCAACGTGTTACAACCTGATGAGAATATATTTTATTAGGAGATCCATAATTTTTGGCCAAACCGAAATCACCTAATTTTAGAACACCTTCACTATTAATTAATAGATTATTTGGTTTTAGATCTCTGTGTAAAATCCAATTTGAATGTAAATATTCAAGACCTTGAAGTGTCATGATCATATAAGCTTTGATATGGCTTGGAGTAAGAATTATCATAGAATCCTTTATTACTATTTCCAAGTCAGTGTCCATAAAGTCAAACACTAATGAAATATTTGATTTACTACCAATGATGTTAAGTAAACCAATCACATTGGGATGTTTCAAATCTCGTAGGAATTTTATTTCTCGTATTGCAGTTCTGTTAACTCCATCTTTTGCTTCAGCTTTGCTTCCAACTTTAATCTTTTTAATTGCCACTATTTCCCCATTTACTAAATCTCTAGCCTTATAGACAGTTGCAAACTGGCCTTCACCTAAAAATGAGAGCTTCTCATATCGCTTAGCTTTGCCTTCCATTTTTTCTGAATCAGATCTAAAAAGATATGTTAAAAAATGTTTATAGATAGAACAATTTGAAATTAATAATATAAAAATGTATAAACGCATAACCATATGAGGATAATTAAAAACTTTATCAGCAAATTACAACAATTTTGCATATGAAAGTAACAGTTAAACTTTGTGGTTGTAATTTTGGACATCCAATTGTAAGCTAATTTCTTAAGAATTACAAGAGAAAAAATTTCATTTTAGTATATAATTCAGTGTGAAGCAATTTTCTAATGGAAACTATTAGTACTCTAAAATCAAGATGTTTTTTTTTTAAATAAAATTTGTATGGGTAAGTAAATTTAAAAAAAAAATTGCTATTATTTACAGAACTTACAAAAGTATCAAGACTAGCAACACAAATAAAAATTACTAGCAACACAAATAAAAATTACATTTTAATCTAGTAATTTTTACTAACATTTCAAACAATTAGCCACTCTAAAATCAATGTTTTTTTCCCCAGGAATATATAAAGTGATAAAGTAAAATTAATATAGTATTTTTTTTCTAACTTGAACTTAGATTGTTGAGTAATGCATTGCATGCATCCAAACAATTATTAAAAATTCAATTAAATTAAATAAAAATTATAAAATCCACAGGCCTGGTAGCAGAAACTTACCAGAGTAGCAATTAGGTGCTGCAGATTATTTTTTATTTCAAATTTGGGAAGAA